TAGGGGTGTACTCACTTTTATTTCAAGCGGTTTAGACATTAATGGCTGTGTGATGTGTTATTTTGAGGGGACTGCAAATTTACACTATTATACAAGCTGTACATGCGCTACTTTATATTGTAGCAAAGTGTCATTTCTTCAGTGTTGTCACATGAAAAGATATAGTCAAATGGGTGGGGTGTATTCACTTTTGGGAGATACTGTATATATATATTTTCTCTTGCTTGTTTTTGCTTTTCTGTTGTTCAGTTCATTTATGTTTCATTTATTGATATAATATGTCTACAATTTCTTCAGCATGGTGACACTTATTAGTGAAAGGAATATGGTAGCTTTGGTACTTTTATATCTTTTTTTTTTTTACAGCTTTTTTTTTTGTATTTTCCAGAAGTTCTTCCAGAAATAGAAAGCCAGGGGGAGTATGAAGGACAGAACTTCGGCTTTACATCACCAGACAATATGGACAATGGAGGCTCCCAAAACCTCACTAAACTCACTACAGCAAACATGGAGGACATGGAGGAGTATTACAATTTTGGGAAGGATACAAGCAGCTACACTACACCTTGAGTGGTGATGGGCCAGAAGACATGTTTTGCTTTTGTTTTGTTTTTTTGGAAGGCAGAAGGAAATTACAAAGTTGTTGACAAGGCTTTGGGAGACACTGGGAAAGGGGTTTTCATTTAGTTTTGGCCTCCTTGCAGAAGAGCCAGAACTGACAAACTCTGATGGGAGGCCAGGAAGGAGACGCACTTCAAAGGAGACGTTTCAGCTCTGTTGCTGATAGCAGAGACGCCGAAACTGTTGACGCGGGCTGGAGCTCCTTTTTTGGGGGGGATTACTGCGCTTACAGACTCAAAGACTCTCACTGGCGGACAGTCAAATCTGTATGTTGTGTGTATGTATCAGTTATTTGAAGAAAAAAAAGAAGAAAAAAGTTGCATTTGCAGAGCCATCAGTTACATTTGATGTGATAAAAATTTGTTTACCATTTTGCCATTTTTGTCACATTCACAACCAATGTATGCCCTTATAGTTTTTGACTGAAAGTGCCAGCTAGAGACATTCGCAGCTAAGCTTCCGCCTTGTCAGCTATTTACTCACTGTATATCGAACTTTTGATACATAGTCACAACATATTCATAGGTTTGAATGCTCTTACTAAAAAGCTCCTAATTGTAGTAACCTGTTTCTACCCAGCCCTCCGTTTAAACAGGACGGTCTTTCAATGCTTGTGTGCTTTGCACAGGACTTTATAGCCTTTTTCTTGGCAGGTCACTTCCTACCAAAGTGGCTACTGTCCCATGTCGGCTGACAACTGAAAACAATGACACCGACATGTAAAGCCCTCTCACTGTACAAATGATTCTTCAACATGCAGTGTGCTTACTTACCGTTTTCGTTTCACATGGTTTAGCTTTACATTAATAATCTATCCCGTGTAGTGAATAATCTGCTCCAGTTTTTGAATTACTGAGTGAACAATACAAAGCACTTTTTCATTGAGACCTGTCATTTTTCTGTGAAGGCTGTCTTCTGTAACTCATTTGCCTCAAGGAGAAGAGCTGGGGGAAGTAAGATTGTACAATCTTCCAAACCCCCATAACGGCAATATTATGAAACACAAACAGATATGCTTTCTCAGTAGGTATTTTGTAAACTGCAGTTTCCTTGATATGGATATTTCACAGTTGTCAGTTCAAATGTGAATTGAAGAATGAGCAATTTGTATGGAGAATCAGCAGTTTGGGTTTTTTGTTGTTTGTAGTTTCAGCACTCTTAAATCCAGGGCTCTTTTCACTTCACTTTCAATTCAGTTACTTCAGAAAGATATTCCTCCCTCTCAATGGGAAAAAGACACTGAAAATGGATATAAATCCAATCTGTAGATTTAAAAGAAGGAAATATTATTATTTGGTAGTCCTGGTTAAATTTTGATTGGTTGAATTGAAAGTGGACTGATGCTAGTCCTGCTATTCATAATTCTGTTTTGGGGAAGACCGTCAGTTCCCCCTGTCCTGCCATGCAGGTCAGCCTTGATATGCACACTAAACCAGAGGAATGGTCTACTTGTTCATTTTTGAAATGAGGAGTATCAAACTGAGACCTCATGGAAATTGACCATGGATTATTTAATAAAGGTTATCTAGTTTAAATGAGACTGATGCTTTAATCTGTCCCTTTGTTGTTGTTTTGTTTGGGGGGTAATTCTCAGCATGTTGTATTTTTAGCCATGCTAGTGGCTGTATGGATAGCAATGTCAGTCTGTCAGACTTTGGTTGAGACTGAAATATCTCTTAAATTTGGTACACACATTTATGTCCCCTCAGTAGGAATTGTAATAAATATGTTGATTAATTAACTTTTCAGATAGCGCCATCTTCTGGTCAGAATTCTGCCTCAGCTGTACTTTGTGTTCAGTGCTAATTAGCAAATGTTAGCATGCTAAGATGCTAAACTAAGATGGTGACCATGATAAACATACCTCATTGTTAGCATGCTGACATTAGCATTTAGCTCAAAGCACCACTGTGTCTAAATACAGTCTCACATATACCTGTTAGCATGGCTGTGGACTATTGGTTTTGATTTAGCCATGCTAGCACTAAAGCTCTAGGGGTGGCCATCATCAGAAATAAATAAAACATTTTTCAGTACTTTGGTTTATGACTAAAAAACTACTGACGGAACTAGTGATATGTACCTGCGGACTGGAACCATAGCTCCTTTTCATTTTATTAGGGCTGTTCAACCAACTACGTGTCTTCCTCAGGTCAAAATACACAGGATGAAATTGAGGAATATACACTGTAGCCTATGGCAAAATGACTGACATTATAATCATATATATAAATGTAATCCCTCATTTCCACCCTGTGGGTATTTGAGAGCTGTAGTTGGTTGACACATCGCAAATAAAATTAAAGTTTGCTTTGTTTCTACTGTGGTGGTACTACTGATGTGATACTGATTATGGATGTGAACATAACTCTAACTTACAAAACTAATGACATTCCCATCTGCCCAGCTGTTCTTTGTGCTAATTAGCAAATGTTAGCATGCTAACATGCTAAACTAAGATTGTGAAAATGGTAAACATACTGCTAAACATCAGCATGTTAGCGTTGTCATTGTGAATATGTTAGCAAAGCACTGCCTAAGCACAGTGTCACAGAGCTGCTAGCATGGCTGAAGACCAACCCAAACTTGCAATGAATCATGGCTCAGTGTAATTGTCATTCAGGGTTTCAGGACGTTCACATGTGAGGAAGAAAATTGGGACATTTCTGAAAGACAAAAGAGTATTTTGTTAAATGTGAAAAAAGATGTATCAGAGAAATCTGCAGACAGAGCAGTAAAAAAAGGCAAACTGCATGTCTGACTTATTTACTAACTGTCAAGGGGGTAACTTCCTTTATTGTTCATTGGTAATGGCATCTCTTACGCATGTTTTTAAAATGTGCTTCTAGCAGTCAGCTGGTAGGGGGTTAGTGTCTTGCTTAAGGACACATTGCCCGTTGTGGGAATTGAATTGTTACTTTTGAGTTATGTCCGTGGTCTTTCTGAAGCCTCAGTCAGCTCCAGTATGGACTGTCCCACTGCAAAATGTGCACTCAAAGATTGGTCCTACTCTATTTCACGGATGCTTTGCATTGTGCACGCATTATACTTCCATAGGAAATCATTTCCCAGGAAGTGATTGATCAATATGCTCAGAGATATGACTCTTTTATGGCTGCAGATCATATTAAGTAGAAGGTTCTTCAGCACTTAATAGTTGCATGGGAATGTTCTTCCAGGAGGGAATTAAAAAAGGTAATCTAAATGCTAATTTCTGGTAATTTTGTGGTAGAGGCACCTTGTTCATTTTCTTTGACTTTTTAGTGGCTGGGAGAGACAGACTAGCATATTCCCTGCAGAGTGGTTCAGTTATAAAGTTCACCTCTGGCAGGACTTTTGAGTAACAAATGACTAAGAATGAACAGAAGGAATATCATGCTATCAAACTAACCTTTGTTCTGTCAGTGCTTCTGTGTCTGATGGCTCCAGTTGCCTTCAATTATATCAACAGGCTGGATGAGATCTTTTTCACATAACTTCCTAATGACATGTGTTTGCTTTAGTTAGGTAGGTTTTAGGTTGGATACAGAACAACTTGATGAAAACCAGGTTATTTAGATAAACGGAAATAATTCAGGTAACCATGATTGACAGTCTTCCTGACATAACCTGAATTATCCTACTGCAGCAAGCCACTATTAATTATTTTAAATTACAAGCACCAATAATGATCTAAAAGGTGCAATTTTGCCACAATCAATTTCAGACAAGAGCAGTGTAAAGTTAAAAGCTGGCTAACTGACCATGTTGACATCTGCTGGTGATATACTGTAGTTGTCAGCACAGCAGAGTGTTACTACTCACTGTCATGCACTAGAGGGTGCATATGACGTCTAGTAAATGAGCACTGCATGAATGCACTGCTGGATATGTGCTTGAAATTAAAATGTGAAGGGAAATTGCATGTGGATGACATTTACTATAAGTGATTCTGATTTAAACATCTGGATTTGCCATTTGGCTCCAGTGAGGTAACTTCTACAGCGCCCTCTACTTCTCATTCTGTCTGATTTATCATTCTCAAAGCTCCTCCTGAAGGCTCAGTTGCAACCACAACACTGATCAGACCAATACTAGCTGAGTACTATTCTGACATCTCAAACATTTAGTAAATACATTCTTCTTCTTTGCAGATTTTGATAAACTGAAACAAAATGCTTCACTGCTACTTTTAATTATAACGCCTCCATCTGCCTAAATAATTAAATTGATGAGTATCATTAGAGCGCAGAGGAGTCTGAAAGTTAATCTAACAACCCCCATAATCATTCTGTCCAGAGTGTGCTGATAAGTCTGTTTTCTGCCCCAATGTTCAGGATAACAGCACCGAACAGTGTAGCTACTGAAGTAAAGGACAAAATGAGAGCAAGCCCATACACTGCTTGTAACTGAGAGATAAGCAATCACTATTTCTTTTTAATATTAATGCTGACAGTACAAAACATGGCATATTGTCCTTTGTTCCCTGAAGATGCCCTCTAATTAATTGTGATTTCTTTGACATTATAAGTTAACGTAAGTTAATACCAATTCTTACAGTACAATCACTTAATTGTGCAATACAAAAGTGGACCGTTGGCAACAGGAAAGGCAGAGGACCACGACCACAGTAATGTGTTAGTGAGCTATACAAATATAAAAATGGCACTATAAAATAGCAAACTTAGATCCTTCAAAATCAGATACAAAGGGTCATACAAACAAAAGCTAAAAATCTACAGACAGGTTTTGTCTCTCTAAGTGTGTCTTCAGATTGTTCTTCATTTGCCCAGAGATTTGTCCAGGTTAGTCTTGATAGCATCCAGGAAGTCTGATGTGTTGACATAATGTTCATTCAGCTTGCAGCTGCAAGATCATAGTGCAGGGGTTACATTTGCAATAAGTAATAAAATCAGTCTGTATGTTAGAACATCATAATAAGTTTCCTAAAAACAGTCCACAAGCATATGTGACACACTCTAAGCATGAGTGTGGTATCTGAAAATGTAAACTCACTTGGCTAAACCATGGATGCAGCCTGCGAGATCCTTAGTCATCACACCATTTTCCACAGTTTCCACACAGACTTTTTCTAACATCTGGGAGAACCTGGAGAGCGACAGTGCAGAGTGACAAATTATTATGTAAAACTGCATAAACAGATATCCCATGAGTAAATAAAACTATATAATCAGATAACATACTTTATCAAATCGGGATTTCTGTCCAGTTTGCCTCTGTGCTCCAATCCTCTAGTCCAGGCAAAGATGCTAGCAATGGGATTGGTACTGGTTGGTCTTCCCTATAAAGCAAAGGGCATGTATTGTAGTTGCTTTGCATTCCCTTCAGATCTAGTAATGCCACCGTGGATGGATACATTAGCATCCGGCTTTGTTTCCATGTTTGATGTGTTTGCACTGGCTTTAAACACTTCAAAAGTGGGTAATCTCACAAAACTGGAAATATCTTGAAAAGGCTGATTTGAGTGACAGCTGTCTGACAGTGGCAGTATTTGGCACCATCTAAACTTCAACTACAACCTAACTTCAAACCCAACACAAAGTCTTAAATTTTGGGTCCCGCCAAAATGTCCATCACTTAGCACATCATAGTTCCTCACTCTCAAGGTCTAAAAATCCAATCAGTTTGAGCAGAGGTAGAAGTACAAGAACATTGTATTTTGCTCCCAAAGTAAAAACACTCCCAGCATTGTCAGCTGGTGGCTCTCACCCTCTGGTGTTCACGGTAGTGCCTGGTGACGGTACCATGGGCGGCCTCAGCCTCGATAGTCTTGCCATCAGGGCACACTAGTACTGATGTCATGAGACCTAGAGAACCAAAACCTGGACAAAAAACACAGACAAGCCTGTCAAGGTGATCTTAGTTCAGATGTAACTAATGAGACAATATGGCGTTTACCCATCATCTAATTAAAGTGTGCTTACCCTGAGCCAGAATGTCTGACTGCACATCTCCATCGTAATTCTTGCACGCCCAAACAAATCCTCCAGAAGACTTCAAGACCTGGGCCACCATGTCATCAATGAGACGGTGCTCATACCAGATCTTCAGCTTGTCAAACTCTGGCTTGTACTTCCTGAAAAAACACAGAATAATGAAATGTTTATGTCACCATAACAGTGACTGTTAAATTCAGCGCCCAGACCACTGAGCAATACAATTGGAGAAAAGTACACTGTTTGTTCATCTGGTTTTACATAATTTAATTGCAATGAGTCTACTAAAGAGTTTATTTCTGGAGCAATGCACCAAGTCTGATTCCTCATCTGCACAGTATCTCACTTCTCGAAGATGTCTTGGAAGATGTCTTTGAAGCGCCCATCGTAGGCCTTGAGGATGGTGTTCTTGGTGCTCATGTACAGAGGCCACTTCTTCTGGATGGCATACTGGAAGCAGCTGTGAGCAAACCCACTGATCGACTGTGCAAAGAAAATATAACAATAAGGTAGAGATTTGAAATTGCATCACAGCAATTTCACAGCTGTCAAGTTGGTCGGCAACATGTAGCCTACAGCTGAACCGAAGCCATGTTTGCTTCTCATTGACCCGCCCTTCTCTGCTTCTTATTGGCTAGTAGTCCTTAACTAGGAACTGAGCATGTGCAACAAAGATCATTTAGAGACAAGATGTATCACTCCATAGTTAAAACGAAGCCTTCAACACAGGGTGAAAAGAGGAGCTGCAGCAATGAAAAACAATATGGTGATTTTTGAAAATTAAACCATGTAAACCTGTTCTGGTACAACCCCTAAATAGGATTTTGAACCTGAAAATGAGCATAATACCACCTCTTTTAAGATTATTTATGTTTATTATTTATAAATATCACATTGGTATATCATTCATGTAAATAAATATATAAACAAACTCATTCTTACCTCATCAGTGTTGTACATTCCCATCCCACAGCCTCCTGCTTGAAAGTCATACACCTCCCACTCTTTCTGTTTGCTTCCATCAGCTGGGGAGAAAACCATCTTGAACTTGCCAGGCCGGTCAACAACAAAGTCTGTGGCCCTGTACTGTGAGATTAAAAATCAAACCCGCAGGTATGTAAGATTTATCTTCTGTCAGTTTGGATGCATCTCTGTAAAGGGCAAACACACATTTGTTACCTGATCGCCGAAAGCATGCCGGCCGATTGTTATGGCTTGTGTCCAACCGGGAACCAGACGAGGGATGTTTTTACAAAGGATTGGCTCACGGAAAACTGTGCCACCCAAGATGTTCCTGATAGTTCCGTTAGGACTCTTCCACATCTTCTTTAGCTTAAACTCTGAAAAGAAAAAACAGTAAACAGTTTAAAATACAAGATAGATAGATATATAGATATTATTGCTAATGCTGCTATTGGTTGAAATATGCTATAATATAAATTAGCACAAGCACAATTAACATATAATTAAATATCAAAATAATCAAAGTTACCTTCAACTCTGGCCTCATCAGGGGTGATGGTGGCACACTTGACAGCAACGTTGTATTTCATAGTTGCCAGAGCAGAGTCAATGGTGACCTGGTCGTCTGTCTGGTCACGGTAGGGCAGACCCAGGTCAAAGTACTTCAGCTCAACATCAACATTTGGCAGGATGAGCTGTACATGTACAAGATGTTTAATGTGTTATATGTATGAAGACAACTGCACAGCAAGCGCGCGCGCACACACACACACACACACACACACACACACACACACACACACACACACAAACACAGTCTGATGATTTTAAGGCCTAAATCACTGAGAAGTAAGCCGAGTTTTACTCTGCTCCATGTACCTTCTCTTTGATGAACTCCCATATGATGCGAGTCATCTCATCTCCGTCCATCTCCACCACTGGCTGGTCCACTTTGATGCGCTTTGTGGCATCTGAAAAATGTACGTTACATTATCTTTCAAGCTTTACTCTGTTGCTCACAGCAGCAAGGAGGTGATGACACTGAAAATGTTGGGCAGAAACACAGTCAATGCTGTCTCTCGTCTGTCTACTTAACTTTAATTTAGCTTTAGGGTCATTCACAATTTGCATGTTTTCATTGCTTCAGACTGAATCCACTGCCTTATATTAGCCCACACTTCCGTTCATTCTGGCTGGTTTGTGACTATCCCTGCAATCTGGTTAGTAGTCTTTAAACTCACATCCCTGTTGGATCATCTACAAGTGAAGAATATCTCTAAAAATTACCACCTTTTAACGTACTCCGCTCACCTGTGGAACCTCTCTGACCCACCAACTAACTGATGACAGTGACACACAGCACAGCCTGCTTTCCTTTTTATATCCCTTTCTTTACTTTGTTACGCAAAACTCATTCACGCTGAGACAGTGAAACTCTGCCAGACATTGTGACCTTGGGATTATATTACAGTTTTGATAGCAGTTATTACCTGTCAAGGCCTTTTTGTAACTGTAACACATGGACTTGCATGCCAAGACAGACTGGCACCAGCTGCTCATATGGGCTTCATAAGATTACTTTTTGTAACATACAGCCTGTTAGTGGTATAAATACATCCTTGCTCTCACCTGTGAGATTTATACAACAAATGATTCACATTTTATTTCGTATTCAGCGTGATATTGCTTTTTGGTTTCCTCTTACACATTAAAGTTTTCTATTAGGCCTGAGCAGTTTTAACTTTCTCTTCTGCCTTGAGTTTTGATACATTTGTATAAATGAAAACTGATTTAGGTTAATGGCACTGACTTTACTACTTTCAGGATCTTGTGATTCAGTGATGGCTTTACGCCAATCAGCCACATCGACTTCCTAATTACCTCGGTTTCCACTGTCACTTAATTCAGTAGCCTACTCATTCATAACACGCTGTCCACACTGTAGACTATGTTTCACACCCAGGCGACCACATTAATGTTGTGAACCTCGGTGAAAATGCGCACTGCAATGGTCTTTGAGTCATATGGTCGACGGCGGACTTACAGTTCCTCTGTTGCGGTCTGTGGTGGCAGACGACGGCCGGTGAGAACACTGCGGGGTTTTCCGACAGCACAGCAGCTGCACTTCTCGATACGGTCGTCAGAGCCCTTAGGTAACCCGCCATGTTTAGAGACTGCGTACGGACACGGCCACTGGAACTGTACCTGCTTTTCTTATGAATGAATGACGGGCCGGTAAACTGGTGACGCCGGGCCTCTAAGATCCAATGACTTCCATCCACGTCAGCTTAGAGGACCGTGAAGTGCGCACGTTGAGTTCGCCGTAGGCTCAAGTTCAATTCAATCCTTCTTCCTATTTCCCATCTCTCATGTCTAGACCGCTGTTTTCCCGCACTGTTGTTCATGAGGGATGACAGAGTAGGCCTATCCGAAGAGTAAAGACATTCACATCCGGTGTCTTAACTTAAAAGAAAACATGAGAAATTGAAAGATGGATAATCTTGCAAAGAAAAAATGGATTGTAGCGTCACTACAAATGACTTTCCACCAAATTTTACTAAAATCTGTTGTCAGGTTTTTACAGATAATAAACAGAAAGAAATAGAAAAATACACAACTGTCTTTGTGGAAAAAAGGCTATAATAATTGGTCACTTAACAATGTCCATTAAATGTATCTCTTTATGAAATAACAGACTTGTAAGCACACCCAAATGTAAAACATAATGAGAAGGGAGTATCCAATGAATCAGTAACAACAACAACAAGATGGCACATAACAGACAAACCTAAACGTAAGCTTTAAACTTGGTAGGAAATGAAAAAAATAAAAAGGATTTCTTAAGGCACTTTGTATGAGACACACAAGGACATGACTGAGACAGAGCTCTTACAACTCATAACAACATTTTGCACTTAAATTAAAAGGTAATACCAAACATAACACACACACACACACACACACACACACACACACACACACACACTATAAAACAAACAAGACTAACATTCAGAAACAACACTTCTTTGGTTTCTATCAGTGTGCCACTATTTACTTGCTGGGTACCCAGATGAAAATCCACAATGGTCCTACTGTAAGGCAATCTGGGTTATTAACAGAAAGATCCAACTAAACCCGCTTTGTCTTTTAGCCCTACTTCTATAAAACGTAATAAATAATCTGTGCAAGGTTGAAAGGTGTCAATCTCATTTTCAACACAAGTACAAGTTTCTTTTCAGTATAGCTTGTCCAGAACAAATCAATACAGACATTTAAAAAAAAAAAAGAGAGACATTCACACGTTTATCTGACACTGGGTAAGCAGGAAAAAAGAAGAATTATTCGAACTATCCCTCTAACAAAGTGTTTGCTGAAAACACTAAGATGCATGCTGGCTCCAGATGCACTTATGTGTCCACCTGTTTCTGAGGGCATATCAAGAGTTCTAAGTAGTGGCTGCCACAGAGCCTTTCTTCTCCGTGAAGAAGCTCCTGAGCAACATGACTTGACCGATGCCGATGACAAACAACATGACGGTTTCACCGATAGACCAGTAGGTCACCCGCTCGAGGAGATGCTCTGCTTTTGTGCGGTCATGCGCCTCTCTCAGTCTGTACCATGTCTGCGAATCAGCCACCACCTTCAGGATCTCGTGAATGGAGACGCAAGATGACTCCAACTGAAAGTAGAAAAAGTCAACACAAATTAATCAAGAGCAGAGCAATGGCCTGTGGCAAAACATACAGCGGAAGGTGGGTCAGACATCCTCAAATGTTGAATTATATTCTCCAAACTGCTCCTGAAAAGATTCACTTCAACTTCCTACACTTTTCCCGCAAGTCTCAGGACTTGAAGTGGTCAAAATGTAACACATACATTATACTGTCCTGTATATAGTATAGCGTAGTACAGTATAGACTATCCATAACTAGGGAATTACAAATGTGGGCTGATATGGGGAATCTGATGATGAAGTATTTATGAAAATGGCTTTCATTTGTAACTCCAGTTTATGTAAAACTGAAAAGGAAAAACCACCCTCTAAAAGGGGCGGTTAACACGTCTCGGTGTTTCTGGTATTGTGCAATAAGGAGAGCACATTAAAAGACTTGCAGGTAAGATTCAGCAATGATTAACAAACTGGGGGGCACGCCCCCCTTGGGGGAGCATAGTGCCACTGCTGAGGAAGCATGGATGTTGAGGAGTCCTAAAATTGCACGAGTGTGATTCAAACAAAAAAAGGGCTCTGACGCAAGCAACTCTATTTTGTTGAACTGGATCTTTAGTTTTATTTATCACCCGTGTTGTTAATGACTTTTTAAAAAATTATCCACCTTTTGCTAGAATCAGGGGCTTGAACTTTTTTTGGCTTCTAAAGGAGGGCAGAACAGAAAACGTTTGAGAACCTTTGGATACATGATTAGACTCTGGCTCCACCTTGTGGACTTAATATAAACCGTCTCACTTGAATCCAACATTAATGTAACAGTAACAGTTCTGCTTCATTTGCATCACCTCAACAGCTGATTAGTAAGCATGAATTACTAAACACAGTACCTGCCACTGGAAATGCCACTGGTAGCTTCTGATGCCACTATTTGAGCTAGCCCCTGCTGGAAAAGTTTTTGCTACATATTGTGGTTTTCTTCTTCTGCTTGCCAGTCCACTAAGATGCATTAACAAATGTTTTTTGGGCTTCTTGTGCATTTTATTGAGAGTTATAGAATAGTGAATAGCATCTGGAAACAGGGGAGAGAGAGAGGGGATGACACCAGCAAAGGGCCACAGGGTGGAGGCGAACCCTGGAGTCAAAACCTGAATGCTCAGCAAGCCAGAAGGATTTAAACAAATCCCTAACATAAAGGCAAACATGCAATTTTCTGGTCCAGTGAACTATTTAAAGAGGTCATATTATGCTTTTTGGCTTTTTCCCCTCTCCTTTATTGAGTTATATATCTTTTTTTTTTGCATGTAAATCGGTTTGCAAAGTGAAAAAGCCCAAAGTCTACCCCAAAGTGAGTTCATATCTCCCACAGAAAACTATGCTCTGAAATGTCTGAAAACAGCTTGTTTGTAGTCCAGCTGTTTCCCTTTGATCCCTGTGACTACACAGCAAAATGCTCACCAAGCCGCTGTCTGACACGCCCTCAAAAAACACCGGTGGAAAAACACTCAGCTGCTGCAGCACACAGTGACAAGACATCTGCTGTCTCTCCTCTCCCTTCCAAACACTAGTAGTCCTTAACTAGGAACTGCACATGTGCAACTCCCAACAAAGATCTTGTAGAGAGGTAAGATATATCACTCCATAGCTAAAACAAAGCCTTCAACACAGGGTGAAAAAAGGAGCTGCAGCAATGTGCAGTATGAAAAACATATGGTGTTTTTTGAAAATGAAACCATGTAAACCTGTTCTGATACAACCCCTAAATAAGATTTTGACCCTGAAAATGAGCATAATAACACCTCTTTATGGGAGCCCATTTGATCTTTTGTGAACAGTCTGCCAAGTGACAGCCACCCTCTGGCCCATTAAAAATGTTTTGCACTGCAGCAGACAGAATTTGAGCCCCTTCTTCCTCAAGTGTAGTTGTAAAGCAAGCTCTTGCGTAGGGCTGCAACTAATGATTCACGTCATTATCGATCAGTTTTATTAATTGCTAAGTTGTTTGGTCCATAAACGGTCAGAAAATGGTGATAAATGTCGATCAGTGTTTCCCACACCCCGAGATGACGTCACTCAAATGTCATGTTTTGACCACATCCCAAAGATATTCAGTTTTCTGTCATTGAGGAGTAAAGACAGTGACTAATCGTTGCATATATGTTCCTGAGACTTACCTGTGTCAGTGCTCGAACACCAGTCATGCTCTGCAGGAGAGGTTCCTCATCTCCATAGCGGAACTCCAGGTACACCGTTTTGTGTGTAAAAGTGGAGAACTCGTTGCTAAAGCAGACCTTGTAGACGCCCTTCATGGCTGTGGTGTGAGAGAAGCTGTCGTACTGCTTCTTCTTCTCATTATACAAGACATTGTTTAGAGGATCTGTGACAAAGCAGTCCACATCATAGTTGCCTCCAGAAATGACCTAAAAGAAGCAAAAAATGACAGCTCACATGCATGTCAAAATAGTTGTGTTGTTGTCCATCCATCCATCCAGAACCGCTTATCCTGCGACTGACTTTGGGCGAAAGGCGGGGTACACTCTGGACAGGTCACCAGTCCATCACAACCACTCGCACTCACATCCACACCTAAGGACAATTTCGGAGACACCAATTAACCTAGCCTGCATGTCTTTGGATGGTGGGAGGAAGCCGGAGCACCCGGAGAGAACCCACACGGACACGGGGAGAACATGCAAACTCCACAAAGAAAGGCCGGGCAACCGGGGTTTGAACCCACGACCTTCTTGCTGTGAGGCGACAGTGCTAACCACTGCACACGCGCCGCCCTTGTGTTGTTGTAATATATGCAAATAATGAGCTGACTCACTCAAGTTGACTTTGCAGCAAACCAGTTGGTAAGAAAACATTTATCAAAACAATTTTTTTTAGGTAGGCTAAATTAATGAATGAGGGTGTCATTTGAGTTACCAAAAGGGCGACTCACTAAAAACAGAAACATGATAACTTTGGCAGGATCTTTTAAAAACGCACAGTGTAAACGGGATGAAGCTTTCAGAGTAACTTACCTGGAAGTCTATGTCAAACTTCACGTCTTTCTCTAGCTCCTCGTAGAAACACTGCTTATCGTTGTCAGGCAGCTCAAATGTGAGCTCAGTCCCGAGCACCACAAACACATGCAGCAGCAGACCGCTCAGTGCCAGGCACAGCATGGTGAAAGCATAAAAATGAATAGCTGGAAACTGCAGAGACACTATTGCAGGGATTATAACTGGCTTAGCTCTGACGTGGCACGAGCACGAACAACTTCCGGGTCAGGTTTGTTAAATTTTTGGTAAAAAAAATAAATAAAAGCCAATGGTTATGAAACGGCAGTTACTGTCAAACAAGATCCAGTTGTTAGTTTTGAGACTGCACATTTTAAACTACTTAAAGGCACGAATCGACAAGTTACAGCCACACATCTACACCGCAACCGTCATGAAGGTTAGATTTCAAAATAAATGTCCAATATTTTAAAGTATCAGAAGTAAAACATTAGACCTATGCTGTATATCAGAGACAATGGGCCTGGTCAGCGTATTGGACTCCTGTTATTGAAGCACGGACGTGTAAGCAGCATTTTTGTTGCAGCTGGTCCAGACGCAGCTGAAATGCTCAACATTGCTGTTTAATTTGTAAAATTGCGTAGTACTAGTAAACTAACACACAAGATGAGTCTGACACTAACTCAAAATGTAATTTTTTATTGTAGATAGAAGCAAAGTACCAACATAGCAGTTATGGCACAAATTTCTTGCTATGATAACATAGTACACAAACAGGCATCTTATTCTGAAAATCCCAGTGGGTGCGTACACACCACAACGCCGCACGGAAAGGAAGAACACTTTCTTGGACAGTTTTTTGGTAGTACTCTGACATTATATCAAATGAACTACGTAGAGTTATCCTAAACGGGAAGTTTTGCAATTTCTAATAATACTAATCAATTGTTTTTAATTGTGCTATGATCTCTCCGTTCATGCTTGTAGTCATTTGTAGTTACTAATTAACAGCCTAAGAGCCTAAGAGATGCAAAACTACGCAGAGGCAATGAGGGACTTCGTAGAGAGGCATGCGACCGTTCTCACAGTTGCTGTTGTTGCAGGTAAATCATTTCTATTATCATAAGGATATTAGCCTACGTAAGCTATGTTTTGTACAACGTCTTAAATGTCAGTGCAAGGGAAATTAAATAACTCTTACTACTGAGCGTATAGTTTAAGTAATAGGCTACTTTGAAACCCCTCGCGTCAGATAAGATCATATTTGTTGAGGCATTCACTGCTACTGCTGCTCACTTTGTGAACACCTAGAAATGTCAGTGGAATAGCTGTTTGAATCAGCACAGTGAAGTGTTTCACAAATACAAATATAAAGAGAATTTTAGTAATTCAGTTGTTCACAATCATAAATTAACATAATCTCTATGGTGCCCGAGTCACATCTAAATTATCCAAAGCAGAGGTTCAATTCAGTATATCATTCTCCTGTAAGGGAATTAGTTCAGCTTTTCATGTCACATAAACAAGGACCAAGGCATGGCAATACAATTACAGGGAAAATAAAAAAAATAACCAAACCAAGGCATATTTCACTACATTGTATTTCTTTCCCCCCTTTTCTGTCAGGGGCAGGCGTATTGGCCTTGCGCAGGTGGCTGGCTGGGGGAGTGTGTCGGAGCAAGGTCAGGCTGGATGGCAAAACAGTCCTGATCACAGGAGCCAACACTGGCATTGGGAAGGAGACGGCCCTGGATATGGCCAAGCGAGGTGATTAAAGTTATTCATACACTTTCTGTTAGTTGCTCTGTTGTCGCAGCACAGTTATTATTTATAGAGTGGCTTTGGATTGACCTAAACTGACTGTAACCAAAACTACTAACTCAGTAATACTTACACTTTATTACTGTATAAATCTTGACTACATTCCTTATTTTAAACAAGGAGCCAGAGTGATTCTAGCCTGCAGGGACATGACCAGAGCCCGCATTGCAGCTGATGAGATCCGGCAGCAGAGTGGAAACGGTAACGTCGTGGTAAAGAAACTGGACCTCGCCTCGCTGCAGTCTGTCAGGGACCTGGCCAAAGATGTGCAGGAGACTGAGGAACGTTTGGACATCCTCATCAACAATGCCGGTATTTTGCAGTGGTTCTCCCTTACACGGGTGGCAGCAGTGTATATATATATATGTATATGTGTGTGTGTGTGTGTATAGTATATAGTGTGGGTACAAGCAGGATAAATGCAGGATGCATAAAGCAAACTTCATGACATAGAAGCACATTGAGGACTTAAATAACACATCACAGCTAAACAATTCGTACGATCAAAAAAAAGTCAGTTGATTAAAAAGGCATCTTATTTTTTCCAGCTGAAATTGAACTGGCTGTATTTATTGTCCTTTCCCAACTTTTATAGGCCAAAAAGTTACCTCAATTTGGGTTCTACTGAAGGTGGAACCAAGAGGTTATTTACTAGTTAGTTGTATTCCATATAAGTGTTTTTGTTGATTGTTAGGTATCATGATGTGTCCCAAGTGGAAGACTGAGGATGGCTTTGAAATGCAGTTTGGTGTCAACCACCTGGGACATTTTCTCCTCACCAATTGTCTTCTTGACCTGCTGAAGAAGTCAGCTCCAAGTCGAATTGTCACCGTCTCCAGCCTGGCACACGAGAAAGGTTTTGTGATTGAAGCAGCTGTGTGTTTTATCGTTTCTGAAATGTCACAAAACACAAATTCACGTGGTCGTTTCTGGATTAAAAAAATGTGTGATTTCTGCTTAAAGACTACACTGGATTGTTTCACTTGCAGGTCATATACACTTTGATGACATCAACCTTGATAATGACTACCAGCGCCAGAAGAGCTACCGCCAAAGCAAGCTGGCCAATGTGCTCTTCTGCAGAGAACTGGCTAAAAGACTGGAAGGTAGTGCCCAATGCACATTATGTGGCCTTAATACAGCATTGATACAGCATTATTATTATGTAATGTAAGTTATGTTATTATTAATCTTCTACTCTGCAAGGGGAAAGACATTGGGGAATAATTCCCTCACATTGTCCCAGTTTTTAATTTCTTACATTAACATAAAGCCTAATGTAGAACAGATCTGATCAGATTTGTTTTTGCCTTGGTGTTCTTTTTCCTTCTCCCTTTCCTAATAGTCTGATGATGTTTCAGACACTGTAGCTAACTTTTGAATTGATGGATCCCTCTCATCAGGCACAGGTGTGACAGTGTACAGTCTTCACCCTGGGGTCATCCGCACCGAGTTAGGCCGCCACTTTTTCCCTACTATACCGCTGTGGAAGAGGATCATAGCCATGCCATTTATCATGCTGATTAAAAGTCCCTGGGAAGGAGCTCAGACCACCATATACTGCGCTGTGGACGAGAGCCTGGCAAACGTCAGTGGCCTCTACTACAGGCAAGTACATCTGCAATAAAACTCACCTGATTGTGAAGATAAACTTCATTGTTAATAGTTGTCTGAAATTCAGTGACATGGTTTATTACAGAAGCTTCTGCTGATCCATTAGAGATTGTACTACATCAGATTAGATTATAAGCACACAGTATTAGACTTTCGGTGATCCTTTCTCCCTATTTTATTTCTTCCATCATACAGTGATTGTGCCCCCAAAACGGCAGCACCGCAGGCCCTGGATGATGCCGCAGCCAAGAAGCTGTGGGATCTCAGTGCTTCCATGGTTGGTCTGGCTTAAACACAACAGCAGTGCCCTTGTTTGCATGGGTGGATAAAACACAGCACTTATTTTTCAACGTTAAAAAGTATTGCATTAATAAGGATGATTTTACCAAGTTAATTTCTTTAGACCAAAACAATTTGCTGATGAGTGAAACATTTAATCTCAGACTCCAGTCAGTTGATTGCATTTTAAAATAATTTCTTCATCTTTATATTCTGCATTATATTTTCTGCTTTATTGTATATTTATGGTATGCTGTCATATCCTTAGAAAAACAAGACAACACTTTTTAATCTGCCACCTTTGTAGATGTTTGCATTTTGCTGAGTAATTGTTTTAGGGTTTGAATGCTAAAATGCTTAGGTGCTAAACAGGCTCTAATTTTTTCATCAAATGATTTGTGCTGCAAATTCCAAGAGACATTTAAGACTGCCGCTTTTATTCATGGCATATAACAGCAATTGCCAACATACAGTAAAGTTCTGTATCAAACTAATTGCAGAAACACAGTGATAAAAACGTAAAGCATAACTACATTTTCCTAATAAGTACAAGAAAGGGAAGATGAGAGCCTATTTGTATGCAGTTTGAAGAGGTAGACTGTGTTGAAGTAGCGTTGAGGTGTTGCTTAAAGCCTGGGAGGTGACCTTGTGTGTCGGCAGGCAGTGAGAGGCACTTCAGAGGAGGGGAGATCCTCCACCAGGTGTAAAGAGGGAGTGGACACCTTGAGGGCAGAGAAGCAGCTAGTAGATCCAGAAGACTTGTCAGCTTACTGAGTGCCCTCCTGTGTATGTGTGAGTGTGTTTCTTTAAATAGATGCTGCTTGTTGTATGATCACAATGTCATTTTTGTGTTTTGTTGCTCTCATTGTAAACAGTGAGAATTGCACTGTGTGCCTTTTGTTGATTGAACAATACATAAGTTTAAAATGGGAAGCATCAGAAATGTAATGCATTTGGCAATAAATGTCTGATTAGAAGGGATTCTGGCAGTTACTTAATAAAAGGTGCAGTAAAGCTCTAAAGCTCTTACATATTTATTGTAAATGAGAAAAAAACATCCACAACAAATGAAACAGTATTTTAGAGTCACGTCACTTAGCAGACACAAATAGAGAATTCAGGCTTCTGTTATCAGGTTAACACATTTCAAGAACATGATATGTTCTGAAAGGCTGAATGTGGCCCCAACTTGTGTTTGAGAGCAGTTTATGCATCTTAAGACGTGGGAAAAACAGATGCCAGTCTGAGCTCCTTACTGGAAGCTCAGTTATTTAAAAGAGTTTCTGTAGAGCTCTTTTAAATGAAGCCAGATGAAAATATAAATGAAACAAAAGGAACTTAGATGTATTATCTTAGGCGTTTGAAAGAATAAAGCGTCCCTCAGCTGTTACACATACCGCTTTTTAAAAGAAAGTCATGTTTTTCTCTTTGAATCAACAACGTGTGTGGATGTTATTTTTATATAACATCCTATGGATTTTCATATTCCTGTTTTCCAGCTCAGTTTGATGTTGATTCGTCATTTTGTATCAACATGTTTATTCCTGCAAAGTATGTTAAGTATGAGATGTATTCCTATGTTTGGAACAATCCACTGTGTGATCTGTAATAAAACAGAAAAACGGCAAGGCTGCGTGTTTATGGGTGTGAGAATCGTGTAAGCATGTTGGTGTGAATCATATCTAAATTACTCACCAGATTTTTGTAATCCAGTTCACCAGTTCCACGATCCTCAGCGTAATTAAGGTCTCAATAGATTATGTCAGTCATGCTGTATCATGTGTGTCATGAGTGTCCAAGCTCACTGTGACCCCTCTTTCTAAATTTGATGTCAATGGAACCATTTTTGGAAAGCTATTTTAATTTTAATGGATCATACTGATTTCCCAAACCAGATTGTGTCAATCACCGGTCTTGCCTTTTAAGAGAAATACATCATTTTGCCTGAAGTCTCACCTGACAAAGAAAGCTGCACTCTTGCTTTCTGTCATATTTCTGGGAAATAGGACTTAAAACCAGGTGTGCTCAGAACTGCCTGAAGGGAATTTGTTTTGATTAATATTCCACTCAATCTCGTGTTACATGACAGAAGCAGAAAGACAAACCTTTCCACTTTGCAGTCCTTGGCACAAGTTGATGTATCCAGTGCTAAATCATCAAAAAAAACCAAAAGGTCATTACAGACAAATCACAAGATAGATTACAATGCAAGCAAAATGTTAGCGTTGGTTGTCATGAACTTGCATTAGCCCCTTACTTACCTTTTAGCCACTTACAAAGTTCACATTTTAAAACTTACAACTTATAGCTCTTATTTTTTGACATCTTTAAAAAGCAATACATTACAGTTCAAGTCATCCATCTAAAAATTGCTTAAAAGCAAACAACAAAAGCACAAAAACAGATATCAATCTTCAAAATGATCTCCAATTAAAATTGAATTACTTAATTACCCCAAAGGCTCTCTTACTCAGATGTCTCCAGTATTTGTAGGTAATGTCATGCACATGCCCTTATCAGTTCTCCGTCCAACGGATACAGAATCTATAGCTGGGCTGGAAAAGTGATAAGGAGATGTGAGCGACTACAGTGTAGTAACAGCTGTAAAATCTCTATCATACTGTGATGATGTACCTATTGTTAAGGGACGAAAATGAGTCCTGAGAGGTTTAAAAAGTCTCCAACCATGTACTGCCTGAAGCTGCCATCCCTTCCCTTCAAGTCCTGGCCCTGAAAGAGGAGTTCTTGAAGTTGGAGGAGATGAGATCTGTTGTCTTCTCAGTGATCTCTCAGCCACAGAAAAGGTCATGGGAAAATAGTGCCTCTCTGTCTTTTTCTACCATCTCTGCCAACTGAAAACCGCTCAGATCCTCACGCAGCGAAGAACTAGTTAAGCTTTAACCGGTCAAAGTGGACTCCTGCAGCAGTAGCACTTCACTGTTTGACTGCTGACAAACTTTTGAGACACACCCCATTGATGAGTTTTATTTCACTGCGGCCCCGCCTGGCTCGGAGGGATTTCTTGGCTCCCATTGGTCCACATTCAGAACTTGCCATACCTGCCCTCTGGCTCTTGTGGACGGGAGCCAAATAGTTCAGTTGTCAATCTTGAAGAGATCAGCCAGTGGGATGAGAGAGGCCAGGCTTGGCGGGTGTGTTCCCCACAGGTGTGGCTGAGAAGCACATTCCAATATGTACATACCTGTCAGCTCCTCTGGTATTCAGCTGCTCCTAGAAAGACCTCTGTTGACCACTTGCTCTCCTCTTTCCTCCTCCTGGGGCCCATGCAGAGGGAGAAGGAAATAGCTCCTGTTTCAGATGCATAAACAAGTGATTTTCTGCCCATGCTGTGTGTATGTGTAGGACAGAAAAAGGCTTCCCATGTGCATCAAAGGCTGTTTGGAGTGGATGTTGAGTATTCCTGGAGCCACAGTTGTATCTCATTATACACCCTGATATGTGGAGACAGTGTACAGGTGCAGGCAGTGGCATGTGCCCCCCCCCCCCATAAAGAACATCAGATCATCTGCGCCTGTTTTCTCCCTCTGGAGATCATAAAGCCTTAAGCCTTAACGAGAATGTGTGTAAAGATTGCGTTGTCTGTCCCTCTGGTATGCAGGCTTCTCTCTCTTTCTCTATTCCAGCCATTTTCCATATGTCTTTCTCTGTCTTCATCTCTCTCTCTCTCTCTCACACACACCTCCTTTGTGGCTCTTCATCTTCTAGTGGATTGCTCTATCTCTCCCTCTTTCTCTCTATTCCTCTCTCTCTCAGAGTACAGAAGCGAACACTGTGTGCCTCAAGCAGGTGCGGGAATGCAGGTTTGCAGGATTCACTGGCCTAAAGCAGAGCAGAGCAGCCCATGCCGTGATTACCTTTGGACGAGTCTGTGCATGTGTTAAGCTCAGTCAGAGCAGCCACAGTGACTAAGCTTCTCTGTGTCGTCAGTCACTTATAGAATAGCTGTAGCTCTCATCAGACCTTGCTTGTTTCATTTTGAAAAATGTTTCACCTCAGAAACAGGTTTGTCACCCAGTTTGACAATAGAGAACCACTGGTGTAAAATAAGAGTCTGATATATGGAAATGTTAGCACCACAGTGTTAAAAATGATACTGTTGCTACTTCAAACAGAAATAAAGGTACTAATGATATCACACTTACCGGAAGAGTTTTGTAACAAAGCATCCTAAATGTGAAATACTGATCACAGCTAAGGCTGTGTGACTCATGAAAATAATATCTATTGTTTAATATATGGAAATGTCCCATGTTGGCTTTCCTCATTGTCTGTGTTACGTTCATGTGAAATTATGAGCCAGGGGATGTTCTTGTGGTTGGTATACTGAATTTGTCTGCAGTGTAGAGTGACTAAACGTTGACTAGATATAAAAAAGAAATGAGATAACCGACAGCAGAAGTGCATCAATAAAAGATGTTGGTGATGAGATGCTAGTGAGAAACTATCACACAATTAAATGTGCTTTAATTCAACAAAGAAAGAAATAATAAATATATTTCAATCATTATTAAACTCAAAAGTAGGTAATCAACTTAATTTCAAAGGGTAAATGTACTAATAAATGTTGTAGGGCTTAATATACTGTATATATCATATATATATATATTTGAGTTGACGCTGTATCAGAGACGTGTTGATTCAACTCACCTGTAAGTAGTTCAGGGTGCACTGCATTATGTTGTAAGGTGTTCCTATTATTTGGAGCACACTCAACATCCTGGGGGCCTCTTTAACAGTCCAAAAGACGTACTTAACATTACTTTATCCGTGTTATGTCATGACTTTTTACATCAAGTTTTCAAAAATCTCACATTTTGAGAATTGCTAATAAACATTTTGACTAATGAAGTTCTCAGAAGTCCAGCTGAAGATAATATGATTAATAACAATGGATATCCATGTGCTGCGTATCTGTGATTGGTGCTAAAAGTACTTCTTTCACAGCACAACTCTCCCAAATCTCAAATTAGACTTTTAGGATTTCTGTTGAAGTTTTATAAGAGCTTGGGATGGGGGGGGGGGGGGGGGGTGTCTGGATCAGGGGTGTCTGCAAGAATCCTAGGTCCCGGGCTGGGAGGAGGATTTTCAAATGGTTTTGAGGGATGTTCAGGCCCTGAAGCTGTACTCTGTCGCTGGGGATAAAGACATTGTCGAGTGAGCACACAGACAACAGGGGAGGTGCTGAGTCAGCTGTCCGTCTGGCTTAGCACACGCTGTGGTGCTCCGGACTCTTCACCGAAAGGTTCCCATCAGATTCTCAAGTCAGGAGCCACGACTCCCACATTTCAGTTCAGAGGCAAATTCAAATGTTCTGACCGCTTTATTTAAACAGCGATAAGGCGTGAAACGTTGATCTGACTCATTTAAAAGCATGCAATCCAAACTGTACTTTGGAAGACATTTTCTCTCATTGAGACTGGTGCATGATGGGAACTTCAATTTGATCAATTTAATTTTGTAATAAAAATAAATTTTGACCTAAAATTTGTTTTGTACTAATTTTGTACACCATAGTATTTTAAATTATATAAATATATACTATAACTGATACTAATAAATTAGATTTTTAGGTTTTAATACTTTTTACTTCCATGAAAATGGCAGAATGAATCACAACGACACAAAAAAGTTGCTTTAAAATGAGTGAAGACCTATGAAGTGATGGTGTGATTAAGAAAGATGTTTTGACTTGGTACATTAGTGTGTTGAGCTCATATACCATACCATGTAAGGTAGTCTTTACCTATAGTATTCCTCCATGTGGTACCATGCAGCTTTAACTCAGCTCTTCTGCATGGTTTGACATTCTGCTCCTGATATTTTGTGATGTCTTAGCATACCATCGGGAGAGGAAGGGCTATAGCCATCTCTGCTGGCATTGTTGTTGATTATTTAGTTCAGTTCCTCTCGTCAGTGTGAAAGTCTGGTGCTAACCAAACAGGCGTTGGCCTCTGTTTATCCAGTTCCGGAGTTTGTGGGAACATCAGACACCAGGGCCACTCATGTGGACAAGAGGAGATCTGCTAAAACATCTTCTGTCCCTCACTGGGATTAGACCGGACACATTCCTGGCCCCTGTGCTCTGCAGCTCCCACCATACTGTTCACATCCACATTTTATGCACCACTTTTTCAAAATGATAAAGACAAAATCCACCACTGATCTGTAATAAATTCAGTTTCAAACACATCTAAAAACATACTGTGTTTATAAAACCCTCTATATGCTTTGAAACACTATTCTACTGCGATCAATACAAATTACACAAATGTGACAGAACACAAAAACTCAACACTCAGATTTCAAACGTTTTATTTCGTGACTGTACAGTACACCAATCAGATGTTGTAAAGGAGAGATTACACCAATCAAAAGCTAAGTATTCCACTGCAATGCAGTACTGTAAGCAATAGCGTAAATATCCACTCACATCATATTATCTTCCTCAGCTTCAAGGTTCTGGCTACATGAGGCCATAAAATACCATCCACACATCACACGCGATGTCAGCCTTAGCCAGGCAGTGGGGGAAGTACCCCCTGGTGTGTCAAATCCTCCCCTGGATGGACTCCAGTGGAATGTCCCTACATGCTTCCTCCAGCATTGC